CCAGAACAGACCATGGAACTTTCGATGTAAAGCTTTCGTGACTGCAAGGATTCATCTTCTTTGGTTCTTTCGGTAAAGTCACGTAGAATGAGAATAAAATAATAAATTGATAAAATAAAATAACACAATAAAATTATCACGACGTTTCGGCCACAACACAAGCGGCCTTCATCAGGTGAAGGGACGAGACTGTCTGGAGGACAGCGCTGGAACAAATGACAACTCGACGTTTCGACTCACAACTACGAAGGAGGCACCACAGCTACTTCTGACGCAATTACCTGGCTCAAGCATCTCGATGTACATTTATAATTGTTGTTCAACATCAACATGAGCTGCACAAATAAGAAGACTCAACGAAAATAGGGTTGGAGTATGGTGGCTGAATGTTATTGTTTGAGCGCTATATGTGCGACTGTTTTAATTGCTGTGTTCCCAATGTAAAATGTTTAATACCCATCGCTCTGTGGAAAATAAGTTGATTATATATTCTCCCTTAGCATGTCTCAACATAAAAACTAAAATGTGTTTTTAGTTCATCAGCCCGTTAACCTTCCAGACTTATTGTATAGCCAGCAACATTTGTTTAAAAAATTATTCTGCAGAATGGTTTTTCTCTTCTGGAACTCATCAGCTGAATTGAGTAACCTAAACAAATACTCAAAAGGCGAATAAACAACACTGCCTCTATATATTTGTATAAAAAAATTTCTTTTAAGGCAGTGGTATTGACGAACGAGGTGAGTTTTGTTATTCGTATCTTGTGCACCACTGCCAACAGAGCAGCAGTAGCATCAACAAATAATTTGTTTTAAACAAATACAACAGACGACTTTTACGATAGCACTATTGTGCAAAAAAGCAATAGTGCGTTAAACCACCAGTGACTCTGCTGACGAGTCCCAGATGGACCTCGTCCAGAGTTTGCAGGCTTAAACAAAGCCTGCTGACTGGATGTCAATATGCCGATAGACCAAATATGTGTTTTATTTTGCAGTTGCAAGGAAATATGCTTTGGGAAATCGTGCGTTTAACTTAATACACTGAATTCTGTGCAGCATGTGGGAGCAGGATCGTTGCCTTTAGAGCCAGGACTTCACAAAGGGGCCTTGTATTTTTACAAACATCTATTTTCAGAATACATCAGTGGCTGATGACAGGAATTCCACTGGGTAACTAATTCTTGAGATTACATTCTCTCGAACGCAGACATTAATGACTTTGCAAAAGACTGAATACCGTCGGCAGTAACAGCTTTATCATTTGAAAGTTGCTCAAAACGCGAAAGAATGTTTCTTTGTCATATGTTAGTGGAAGAAGATGGGGGATTGGATATCATTAACATCCCCGCAAGATATGGTGCGGTCCACTATGAATACGAGCACCTGTTGCTCCCCTAGGGGATTTGTTCAGTGCATTGGGATCGTCGCTGTTACTTGCGGCATGTACCATTTATATACTGCGAGAGGAGGGGGGTGGAGAGGATTGTAGCTCACATGATCAAGTACCGCAGCACTTAAAGGTTTTCATTTTTAATTCAGCAAAGAGGTTGTTTAAACAAACGCTTAAGAGCAGATCATGCTTTTTCAATTGCACTCGTGTCGTCGATTATACATTTAACATGACGGAGTTTGAGATGGAAGAATGCAACCTTTATTTAAATATATATTTTTAACAAAAAAAACACACATACAACATAATTGGCATGCCAATTGCCATAGCAACAGTCGCTGCGGAGGAGCACGGTGGATTAAACTTTAGAGAAAAGAGGCAGGGTGCTGGTAAGAGTAAATCCTGTGCAGGGAGCTGTGGGGTGCAGCTGCGCGTACTACATCAACGCAGTTAAAGATCCCCTCCTGAACAGACTGTTGGGGCAAGTATTGATAAGTGAGCACATTCATTACTGAATGAAAATCATGTAACATGCCAGCATTTATCAATGCAGTTACACAGGCAAATACAAATATCCCCCGTATAGCATGAACACACTGTTGGGGCAAGTGCCATGCCAGCCTTTATTCACACGAAGACACACACAGATTAGCACGTACGGTACGGTGCTTAGCAATTTCAACATATATACAGGCAAAGGTTACCCATATAGCCTCCATAGACTGTTGGGGAATGAGGGTAACCAGCACCATGCCTGACGACCTTCATGTCCTCCGTGCTGATATCTACACACCCTGCACCGCATACTGATTTTAAGGCTGAGTCAACCTAGGCGAATGCCCCCAAGACAAGTTGAGGTCCAGCATTCCAACTGATGTCATACGTGCCCAGGAATCAGCATCGTACTCAGGTCACCACTCCAAATACGTGCATACACGCTGATGCGTATGAACACACCCAAAGACAAAGAACCCCCGTGTAGCCTTAACAGACTGTAGGGGCAAGTGCTGTTAGCGAGCACCTATGAAGGCCGGAACGGTACACGAGGGGGTGGGTGGCCAGCACCACGCCCGACCGCCTTTGTCTCCCCAGTGGCGATGTACACATATCGTACCAGGTACTCATTTGAGGCTGAGTCGACCTAGGGGAGGCCTAGGACCGGTTCAGATAATCGTCACTGGCGTTGGCTGTGAGCGGGCATCGAACCCGGGTCGCCAGGTTCATAGCGCAGCGCGCTAACCGCTACACTATCGCACCCCATAAAGACACACACACACACTGACACACACACACAGACACACACACTGACACACACACACAGACACACACACTGACACACACACACACAGACACACACACTGACACACACACACAGACACACACACAGACACACACACACTGACACACACACACAGACACACACAGACACACACACACAGACATACACACACACTGACACACACACACAGACACACACACACAGACACACACACACAGACACACACAGACACACACTGACACACACACAGACACACACACACGTTTCGTACGCACAAACACCGGCAGCTTGCTGCTCGGTTGTACGGGAGAAGAGGAAAACAGGGCGAGGGAAAGAGTCCAAACTGCACTGTCAACACAGCTGAGATATAGATGGGCACTGGGTTTTGTATTGAAAAAGCAAGCCCCCTTCTCCCCCCCTCTTTGGCTGTTTACACCCCCCCCCCCGCCATTCCCGAATCATTGTTTTTGTGCGAGTGTTTGAGGGCACCGCGGTTGCCCGTAGCTATTTCTGAACGCAAGCTGTGGACTGAGGTGGCAACAAGCTACTGAACAACTTTTTTTTCTTCGTCCTCACTGCCCAGCAATTAAGCGAGTGGGGATGGGGCCGTGGGTGCACGGAGGGTTGATCATCGTTAGCATCAGCAGGAGCAGAGCGATGATCGCCGTCGCTGTTTTCCCCGTTGCTGTGACGCATCGATGATGGTGGTGGGCCGTCTAGCGACGCGTCCTGCCCCAAAGCCACCCTCCCTGACTGTTTTTGTTTACGGTTAATAAGATGCCTGAATATGGCAACATCTCGAGGATGTGGTCAATGATTAATGGTACAAAGATAAAGACTCTTGTGTGCAGTAAAACAGCCAACAGTGGTGGTCTGCCATTGTTTGATCGTGGTTTCTCACGTGAGTTAAACCTGCCGATGTCAAGGCAAGTAATCCACCCTCGTTTTGGGGGAAGTGCGTGTTTCCGTCATTCTGAATTACTTTGTTGGTTTTTTAACGGGGCACGGCGCCCACCCCTCCAATCACTCTTCGGTCTCAACCCTGCTTAGTCACTTAAATTTACAGAGATTTACAGAGATTGGCGGCATTCCGTGTGATATCGTCTCGGGCCATAGGTACATCGTGAGACGATGACTTCATCATCATGGTGGCCGAGGCTCCTGTTGAAGTCACCACACCTCGCTCCCGACCATTACTCCCCTACTACCCAGATCCCACAGCTGCTGCACAGTAGACACGTAGCCTCCCAAGATATGCCGGATCAGTCTCCCAACCCCATCTGGTGTTAGGTCTTCCCCTCGGTTACAGGATTCGTGGAGGGCATGATAAGCCGCGGCGTTGAGCTATCATTTTGTGGCCAGGTCTCTTCTGAAAAATAAACTCATAGCTCAGTGGGCTTTATCTGGTAACAGTAACAATGGTTTAGTTTTGTTTGTATATATTTTTTGAGTGATTTGTTTACGTTTCCTATACTTTGCACTCCTATCATGTTTTTGTATTGTTTGTTGTAACGTTCTGACCCTGTACCCCTACTGGACATCTGTGAAAAAGAGAGCTTTATAGCTCATCGGATTCCTCCAGTATGAGTTAACATTCTGATTCTGTCAGTCTCGGAAACCGGGCCTCCCCCCATCCTGCACTCGTCTTCTTCCTCCTCGGCGAAACCCTTTTTTCGCTTTTAACATGAGACGCAAATTTGAATATCTCCCCTCGAAAAAGTAAAATCCGCTGTGCCACTGGGGCACAGTAAACAACAACAACAACGATAATAATAGCCATGGTTAAAAACAACAACAGCAGCAGGTGGGTATGTCGGTGAGCCTCTGCTGCCCTTAGTTTTGACAGCGAACCGATCCACGTGTGTCTCGGGAGAGGGAGCGGCACTCGGCAGAACCCCCGACGTATAAGGGAACGCAAAGCTTCTCAAACTCCGCTCCATGCCACAGCGAATGTGGATACCTTTAACAGCGAAAATGCGCGGGCTGATTATGTGCTTGAAAACAAAGAGTGGTTTGTTCTTTTGGGCATCCAGTATATATTCATTTTTTTATCATATTCGAGGAAAATAATGTAGATATTTTGACCGACTCGGATTTCTCTGGTGTCACAGTTATTATTATTCGTATATATTTATTATTGATATAGTGAATGTTTTATGCGAGGTGTGGTAGAACGTGGCTGCAAGACAACAATTTAGAAACATTCGGTTGGTGGATCACTTTTAGATGGGGCGAAGCAAAGAAAAAAAGTCTCCAATTTTGGAGATTATGAGAGGGGGTTTTTTTAAATTTAATTTTCATCTCAACAGTTTTTTTCTCCCACCCTCAGCCGCGCTGCCATTCTTGGCCCTGGAGCTGAACCTTCTCCACCCGTTCCAGCGGGGATTCTTCTGTGGCGACGAGAGCATCAGCTACCCATATGAGAAGAGCGAGACGGTGCCCGACGGACTACTAAGCGCCGGGGGATTTCTAATCGCCCTGGCCACTGTGAGGACAAACGCACACCACCACGCAGCGCGCACACACGCACGCAGACGCACGCACATGCACACACGTGGAACCCACGGCTGCATTAACACAGTGGCTTTGGGGAGCTGCTGCCCGGGCACTTGGATTTTAACGGGCGCATAAAAAAAAATATTTCGAAACGGAAAAGGTGAAGCCCTGCAATTTCTTGCTCATGCCACCTGCTGGCAGAAGAACCTCCACTCGAGGAACTTCTAGAGAGCCCCACCTTGGTCGCACGTCTTAGAAGATGTGGGATTAACGACCCCTAAAACATGTGATTGCGAGCGACCTTGTGACGTAGCGAAACGTCTCGGAGTGCAGGTCCCCTTATTGGCAGCTGTCCCCGTGCTGCACAAGGTGACCCAGCACCTGGCTCTGCGACGGATGTTAACCTGCAAGCAGGGAGCGATATTTGCTATGTGGATAAACTGTGGGTAAATTTTTCAAAGTTGAGCACATTTGAACTGGGATTGACATTGTATGTTGTTTTTTTTTGTTATGGGGGTAATCAGGATAAACCCGGTGGAAAGCCATGCAGAACAGCGGGAATAGAACCCAGAGCCTGATTGATGTGATGTGGAGGTGTCACCACGGCACCACGCTGCCACCTCAATAATGGTCGAAATCCAACACTGTAGCACTGTTAAACCGTATGGGTAAATGGTAATTAACGGTAGAGCTTCACTTTGTGAATTACCACCGGTTAGTTGCATGACGACATTGTAATCTTTTGATTCAAAGCTTTCGTGACTGCAGTGATTCATATTCATGGTTCTTTCGGTAAAGTCACGTTGAAGGGAAACAATAAAATAATAAAATATATATAAAACAATAAAATTATCACGACGTTTCGACTGCAACACAAGCAGTCATCATCAGGTGTGAAAACCAACGGCAAGAACACTTCTTTCAAATGTTCTTGCCGTTGGTACCCTGGGCCGCTATAAACATTTAATCAGACCAGACCCTGCACACACCCTCTGTGTCATAGTAGCTCGGTACGGCCCACACATGTTTGTGTTTCGACGTACAACAGCACCCGCAGGCGGGGGGGGGGTGTGGAATTTAACCCTTTCCCTTCCCGATGATGGTACGTGTACGTCAGTACGTCACCGTAACGAAGCCGAAATAAAAACTCTAATAAAATAACTTTATCGGTACCGAGGCTCCCACAAGGCAATGCGGGAGGGCGTGTGGCGCGGTTTGGTGCCAGCTACCGTAGAGCGTGGTCGTGTCGCTACAGTTCCCTGCGGTGAGTACGATGTCTTTAAAAACAATGGCGCCACGTCTCTCTAAATAAAATCAACACTGAGCCGTTTACGTGTTTCGAGATTGAGAGGTGAACGGGACCCCCCCCCCCACCCTGCAACTTGCAGACATCTCAATTCTGCTGCTGTGGTGCATTGCGATCGAGTGAGCTCTCTGCGGTGCACCTGTAGATACCAGGAGGCAGCTGTGGGAACCAGACCAATTTAAAATTTGGTGACCAAGACGAATCTAAAATTGGATGTGGGGCAGCGTGTGTGTTGCCAAAAAAAAATCTGCAGCCGGCATTGGGGGGGGGGGGGGAAGGGGGGGCAAGCGGGAGGTCATTGGATAGTGGCACATGGGTAAGGGATGATCGCCGTGGCCCAGGGCTGCTGGGGAAACTCTTTATGGTGAGAGCTGCCCGTCGGTTTCCACTGCACCAGATGTGACGTTGGCTGTCGGCGACCCATGGCTCTCCATCCGCGTGAACCAGCACACACCTCGCTGTTGTCCTTCCCCCGCCCCGTCCAAACCGCCGATGAGCACAGTTGGCTACGTACGGTGCGAAATAAGTTCAACGTACATATATACATTGGGGGGCAGTTCCACAGTTTAAAGACGGACGTTTTGGATACTTTGCAGTGGAGCGGTGGCGCACTGGTCAGCGCATCGCACTCTAAAACCAGACGCGTGCGTTTGATTCCTCCCGGCCATAACTAATACCATTGGCGAGTGATATCTAGACTGGGCCCTAGGCTTCTTCTTTCCGATCACCAATCTGCACTCTTCAGCATGGTGAAGTCTCGTCAAACAACCCCCATGACCTGTGCAGGCGTGGAGAGGTGCTCATCCAGCAGTGGACTGTCAAAGGGCGAAACAAATATTTTCCTTTTTATTTTTTTATGGTAACAGACACTCATCGCAATCGAAAACATTATTGAAATTAAATTTTGTATGCTATAAGTGGTGACGTACGGTCAACCAACCACGATTGAGGCATGACGAGGCCTTCATCCAGTAGTGGATTGACAATGTACATGGGGTGGGGATGAACCTCTTTGTATAGCTGCCACTTCACATGAATGGTAACCACGGTTCACGTACCGCCACGCGGTAACTACAGTTCATTTACGGCCACGCGGTAATCAGTCTACGTACCGTCACGCACAGGTGATTGGGGGCGAGCTGTTCTTCCTCCTCCTCCTTATCGTCACCATCTTTTCTCCTGTTCCTCCATCTCGTCCACCCACTCATCATGATTCCCCCTCCACCCTCCTCACCTCCGCCACTAATTCTCGTCCTCCACCTCGTCGTCCTCGTCCTCCCCGCACAGGTGATTGGGGGCGAGCTGTTCTTCCTCCTCCTCCTCCTTATCGTCACCATCTTTTCTCCTGTTGCTCCATCTCGTCCACCCACTCATCATGATTCCCCCTCCACCCTCCTCACCTCCGCCACTAATTCTCGTCCTCCACCTCGTCGTCCTCGCCCTCCCCGCGCAGGTGATCGGGGGCGAGCTGTTCTTCCTCCTCCTCCTTATCGTCACCATCTTTTCTTCTGTTCCTCCATCTCGTCCACCCACTCATCATGATTCCCCCTCCACCCTCCTCACCTCCGCCAATAATTCTCGTCCTCCACCTCGTCGTCCTCGTCCTCCCCGCACAGGTGATCGGGGGCGAGCTGTGCGCCGCCTGCTGCCTGGGCCACCGCTGCCCCCCCGTGCTGAAGAGGGGCGGCTCGCTGCCCGGCGCTCTCTACCGCACGCTGGGCGCCTTCCTCTTCGGCTGCGCCGTCAACCAGTCGCTCACGGACGTCGCCAAGTTCTCGGTGGGCCGGCTGCGGCCGCACTTCCTGGACGTGTGCAAGCCCGACCGCGCGCTCTACAACTGCTCCGAGGGCTACATCACGAGGGACGTGTGCACGGGGGACCCGGCCGTCATCTCCGAGGCCAGGTACGGCCATCGTCGACGGCGGGCGTTTAGAGTAGGGGAACTGCGTTGCAAAATACTTGGGAGTTGGGTCATCAGAAATTATTTAAACAATCGATTACTCTTAACCAGCCATCGTTTCAATAATGCAAATGATGGGATTGCACGAAGATGGACGGGTGACAAGAATCAGCTATGTTCCACAACGCGTGCCGCTGAGTGGGGGAGATGATGGGCAGGGCTTAGTGAGGTCGGCATCATCAGCCCTGTAGCGGTTAGCGCGCAGCCCTACAAACCCGGTGACCCGAGTTCGATTCCCGCTCACGGCCAACACTAGTGCCGATTATCTGAAACGGTCATGGGCCTCCCCTAAATCTAGTCAGCGTCAAATGAGTACCTGGTGTGGTGTGTAAACATCGCCACTGGGGAGACAAAGGCGGCCGGGCGTGGTGATGTCCATCCACCCCCTCGTGTGCCGTGTCGGCCTTCGTAGGTGTTCGCAAACAGCAGTTGCCCAACAGTCTGTTAAGGATATAGGGGGGTTCTTTGTCTATGTCTTTGTGTGTATGGGAACCTGGAATCACATGAAACCTCTGCTGTTGAGGTTGGCTGCGGTCCTCCAAAGTGGGTGTGAGCAGTCACGTTTCCAGGGCCAGCATTGCTTAAATATTTTCAAATTTCAAATATTGTCACGCTCAAAAGGAACAATGTCGAATGCGTTGCGCTGCGATCATTGGCAATGCTCACAATTCGAACATTAATGAGATTTTTCTTGTAAGGGAGTGTTATTGTTTTGGGGTAGAAAAATGTGAAAGTTGCCATTTGGAGGCCAGATGTGTGGAATGTGCCCGTGCGTGTGAATGCGAGTCAAATGCCATCATTCCAGTGCAAAGCAAAGGGCCCCCCTCTTTCCAGGAAATGATTTGTTATTAATTTGTTAATGATAATAATAATATAATCATTATTCTTGAGCTAATCACCGCTGGATGAAGGTCTCCAAAAGTTGTCACCATCCCTCATGCAGCAATTATCTGTGCTCTTAAGCCAGGAAAGTTCGAGTCACAAGTCTCTCTGCTCCTAGAGGGCCCAGCAATGGGACGTTTGGCCATTTACAAAAGCGAGAGTTCGAGAGTTCGGCTTCATGTGGGAGAAAACCCGACGCACACCCGAGGAGAATCGCACCACACATACCAGAAAGGGCCACAGAGATCTCCGCCACAGATACATTGAGTCTGCGGACAGACCAAATCCGCGCTGAGTGGACCATATCTATCTCCTGTTCACATCGCAGCCCAGGGGGCATGGGAGTTTCACAGATATGTGACCCACGAGCCCTTGACCCCAAGCGCTACATTAACAGAGCTGGATTGCATCACGGTGAGGTCACCCACACTTTACCCCATCCCAAGTGAATTGGCGATTGACTCACCGCAATGTTTTGCCCCAAGTGGGTTTTTTTGTGTACGTTCGTGTGTGCCTGCGATTAAAGCGCCCTGAGTGTGCCCGATGTTGACAGGCACCAGAAGCCAAGACGAACGCTATGGGAAACTGCTTAGGATTAACAGGTGTTGTAGGCTTGGGCTGTGTGAGGGTTCCACATGGCCAGTAGATGGTAACGCGGCAGTAGTGGGTTTGATGTGCAAGCAGATATTGTCCAATCGCTGTTGAGTAAATCCATCTGTGTGGAGGCTTGAGTGTGTCACCTCGTCGTGTGAGTAGGGGTTTTCTCTCCGGATTGGTCCCATGTGAAGCCAAACAAAAAAAATCCTCGTTGATGCAGTTGGCCAAGCGGCCCATTGTGTCACGACCCTCCTGAAAAATAGTCTTGAGACTCAGTGAGAATTTCCTGACGTAATAGTTTTGCAGAGCTAATATATTCTATCCTGTGTATGAGGAATTGTTTGTATTTATTAACGTAGGGTAAATATGAGCACAGTGCACACGAAAAGCTTAGCTTTGAAAATATTTTAAAATGGACATTGGGATACATATAACATTTATAACTGCTTTACAATAAATTAAGCCTATACATTAATCTTTATGTTAATTACTTTGAGCATTATCTGCAAAGGTTTGTTTAGACAAACGATCACCATCAAGCTTTAGATAGATAGCACGGTTGGCTAGCACGGTGCGAAATAAGTTAAACGTACATTTGTTTATTTTGTTTTACGCTTGCCTGTTTATTTTCAACTCGCAGAAAATCCTTCTACTCTGGCCACGCTTCCTTCTCTATGTACACCATGGTGTTTCTGGCTGTGAGTATCGCAAATATTCGCACACTCACCGTGACATGGATTTACACCGAAAGCAGCGCTTAAACGCCTCGGCAACTCCAAAGGCTTCTCGTGTCACATCTCTCATCTCACGTCATCCATTCCGATGCCCTGCTAGAGTATTGCCGAGGGGAACACCCCCGATCGCCCCACTCCCGCCACCACCCCCCCCCCCCCAGCGAAAGCTTTCCCCCGCGCTACAATGTGGCCACGTGACACTATTCTGCTAGCCGTGGAACACTCACAATTACAAAACTGCCAGGCAAAGTCTGACTCAAACGTCTCCGCATGCAAAAACGAGAATCGGGGGGAAAACCCACAGCCATTGGTGGAAATTCCACATTCCCATGGCAGGCAGGTGATCGTTTTTTTTTTCCATCGGATGACCTCTTAAATTCCTGCAGTGTCATTTATCAACCGTGATCTGCAAACTGTTAGCTGAAGGGCTCCCCAAGCCACCACCGTTTTGTCGCAGACCTGCATGTAGCGTACCCCGGAGTTCCGTTGACGGCTCTACGGCCGACTTCCAGTGGGCGAGCGGCATCTGTGGGCCGGTTACACAAAATACGTGACGTCGCTTTCCTCTCAGTCTGCAATGCTAACGGCAATGCGTGTGGAACGTTACGCGACGGGGCGGCTGAGCCCCCCTTGAGAGGGACTCGGTTGCATCGCATTCGAACCCACGCGACTCTACGGTTGTCGTTTTAGGAGGCCGTGCCCCGGTTAAACGTTGGCACGGCAGCTAAAACAACTCCCTAAATGGGTGGGGCACGGGCGGGCGGGCGGTGCGGTGCGATGAGGCTGCGGAAAAGAAATGAATGAGAGGAACCTCTGCCCACTGCCATCTCGCGCCGGCACTCTTCCGCCCGTCCCTCCCTAACGTCCTGTTGCGGAAAAGGAAAAAAAAATTAACACGGCAACAATTCCCACACATACTCAGATGTTGAGGTTGGCACATATCCTGGGACGGCGTGTAAGTAGTGCTTGGTCCATTGGCTGAGATCGGATCAAATAAAATAACGTTTTAAACTTATGTTATATATGTACACCCGTGCATCCATGCTATGTATCTCAATGTAAATCGATACTTTATTTCGTGATTTTTACAAATGGATTTCTACATATATATAAAACACACGGTGCGGAGCAGGGATGAAATGGTTAGCACATTGCGCTATGAACCCGGTGACCCGAGTATGATTCCTTTCCATGACTAATAACAATGGTGACTTATATCTGAACCAGTCCTGGGCACGCCCTTAATCAGCTCACACATACCAGTATGGTAAAATATACGGTCTAAATCCCCGGATGACTGATTTGACAAAGGGCTGGAAAGTACTTCGACTTGATGTTCATATAATAAACAAGATACCGAAATAGTGGATTGAGTTGGTAGTGGTCTAAAGTACACACGTGTTCAATACATTACGCCTGTGTTTAACGCATACATCTACGTCATTCTTTATTTAAGTGCATAGAACGAGAAAACAAAGGGAGTTAACTTTAATTAACTTTAAAAACAAACATTCAAAATAAAAGCAAACAAAACTGCTTGCCAAATGAATAAAACTAATTTACGCAAACAAACTAAACTATAATCTCCTGCAGCCAGGTTTTAATTGAGCCCTAAGTTACGCAGACAACGATTACGATTAACAAAAAAACATTGTAAATAGCCTACTTTAAAAACCTTCGGCGGGTAAGCGTCTACATTCTTAGCGCACCGCCAAAGCAGGTTCTCAGGTTTTATTGGAAGCTGAGCCTCAGTAAGAGGTGACACATATCTCTGGCCATGCTCCACTAAGCAGGACGGTGTCGTCAACGCTGGCCCGAGTCTCGAGGGTTTTCCCAGACCTTGCGTCTGAGTGACCTCCCCTGCCTGCGAACGGACACGCTCAAATATTTACGATACGCAGGAAAAACATATTTTGAGCCCACCTTGATGCAGAAGGATAGGCGCCCCGATCCCGGTGTCCGCACCCTTCCTCGTGACTCACGCTGGTGCGTAAGTGGGTGAGTCTCGGGCCCGTGTCTTCTGAGTCACGGCTCGGCTCAGGCTTGAGCCGCTCAGTTGCTTCCCAGGACGCGTGAAAGCAGACCTGCCATGGTCTGGCATGGCTGGGACCATCTCAAGTTAAGCGCATGGCTTTGAGCTGGCTCGCTTGAGCCAGAGCCAAGCCGAGCTGTGACTAAGAGAAACGGGCCTCGGGGTGTGCGCGAAGGCCAATGCTGTAACCCAGTCACCACAGCAGGATAGCATTGGCCTGGGCGCCTACTGGCATTCACCATAATCGGCGATCTGTGATCACTGCTAACTAGCTCGCTGGCACTGTCTCGGAGAGAGCTTCACTCGCATTCATGCGTAAAGGCTGCGCCATAGATACATTTAAAAAATCCCGGTTGGATGCTTGACAGCCCATCATGGCTCTGGAAGGTGGTAATATATGGACCACTTTGGAGAGAGGCAGGGGTGGTTATTCTCTAGATCTAAACTGGCCCATGTCATCGGTAGAAATGCGAAATTTCCACCACTGGGCTCACGGCCACCAAATGAGATGAGTGTTGCGCGATGCTCATTGACGTGGAGAGGCACTCTGAGGTTTGGCTCAAGCTACCTATGTACGTGGCCAATCCTTTGTCAGTGCACTGCTGGATGAGGGCCTCCCCACCCTGCGGGTCGTGGGGGTTATTTGACCGCACATTACCACGACGGTCAGTGCACGTTGGTCAAAAGCAGGGAGCAGAGAAGTGGGAGAACAGAATTGCAGCACAACAACGGATTTTGCCACAGTGTGGTTGGCTACGTATGGTGCGAAAGAAGTTCAACATACAACATACGTGATATCATCAAAAAGCCGATGACCAAATCCCCCAGAATACATCCGGTCTCATCAGATCTCAGATGCTAAGTAGGGCGCGTACTTAACAGCAGCCGCAGCAAAGTCCGTAAGTTGTACCGTACTATGATGCTCCAGCGTCTATGTTTCCCAGAATTCCGCACTGAAGAACTCATTACCCGCATTTAGCACAGAGTGCCCCTCATCCAACAGTGCATTCACACAAGGGCCGTGCATGTTCGTGTACATCATCATCAGCAACAGCTGGTGGCCTTCGTCTATCACTCGGCATGTTCCATCGGCTGTGTGCCTTACTGTGCCACGTGTGTAACGATGTGATGTGTGTGACACGTGCCATGTGTGTAATGAAGTGTGCTGTGTGTGCGACACGTGCCACCCTCGTAGCTGTACGTGGAGTCTCGCCTGCGCTGGCGCGGCGCACGCATCCTCCGTCCGCTGCTGCAGTTCGTGCTGCTGCTGGTGGCCGTGTTCGTGGGGCTGTCGCGCCTCTCCGACTACCGGCACCACTGGAGCGATGTGCTCGTCGGGTTCTGTGCCGGGGCGGCCGTCGCCATATTTACGGTGAGCTACGGAGATGACACGGCGGCGTTGATCGCTCGCTTTGTGCGCTGCCGAGCCGAGCCTCGTGTCGGATCGCCACATTTGGCGATTGTTGTCATCGGTTTTTTTTTGTGTCTAGATTGAAAGCTCATTTCTTTGTTGCTGCTTTTTGTTTTTGGATTTTGTTGTCCTTCCCCCGCACCTCTGATTAGCACGGTTGGCTATGTACCATGCGAAAGAAGTTCTACATACACGTACATTGTTGTCATCTGCAGCAGCGCCAAAAGTAGTAGCAGAAGCAGAAACAGCGGAATCAGCAGCAGCAGCAACAGCACAATTCTCATCGTCTCCAGCACGAGCAGCCCCACCACTTACCAGCACCAATGCCGTCGTTCGTGATCAGTAGCAGCAGCTGCAAAACCACCACCACCACAATTCTCGTCATCTCCAGCGCTATTACCCCCACCAATACTACCACCCCAGTCATCATCATCATCATCGTCAAGAGCAGCAGCTGCCGCCCAATCACCATTTTTGTAATTGTTGTTATCATCATCAGCAGCTGTAGGAGCTACAACAGCAGGCATCAGAAAAAAAACAGCAACATCACCATCACCACAACCATTCCCATCATCACCATTACCAACACCACCTTAATCATTATCACCATCCTCATTGTCACTCGCCCTAATCTTTTGAGATCACAATCATCCGTTCTGTTTCCGCCGCCTGTGGAAGACCGCACCGTTCCCTTGCCGGCTAGCCTCAGTTGGGCTGACCCAAGCGCTTCGCTCTGCTCCGCTATACCCCCTCCACCGCCCCCGCCCCAACTCCCGCCTTATCGTGCCCTTTCCCTCTCTCGGCTATCGCTCCGCTGTTAGCCGGAGCCCCGTCCGTCTCTTGAGCAACTTGACCTGCTCAAGTCGACATGTTTTTCTTGTTAGCTGCGAAGACGCGGGCGCTCGCGTTCCCCTGCCAAGCGCCGTTACCGCACCTAAATATATACGAGGCTCCCCAAGCGGCCTCGCGCTCCGCGTGGTTATTTCGGCTGCGTTTCCAGGGGCTAGGAAAGAAAGGCCTCGCGGGGGGCGGGGGGGGGGGGGGTTTCAATGGAGATGTGGTGAGGTGAGAGCGATGTGGACAGAAATAGAGAGCTATTGAGAGGGGAAGGAGAGCGATTCAGACTACATAGATAGCGATGAGAGAGATCAATCAGCTGCTGAATTTTAATTACCTTGCTATGTTTATAAGGCTTTGAATTTGAGATGAAATGTCATGCGCCCCTAATTTGTTGTGAAATCTGGGCCCCCTGAATCTGCCTGGGGCCCTCAGCATTTAGTTGGCTTGCTTGTGCCTAGCACCACCCCTGACTGCTGCCTATGAGCAATGCTGCTCCTCCTGTTGTTGGATCTGTTCCAAACAAACGAAAGTGGGCCCAGAAAGGCTAACCTGTGATTCCATTTTTTCATTGCACGTTGTCGGAAATTTTTTGTTTCACGTAAAGTCTGCAATACATATTATTTTGCGTTCGGCTACAGCCAAACCTTTAGTTTTTTTTGTCTTATTCACAAAAAACATTTGCTTCCTCGCGCCACTGCTGGCGGAAGGGCCTCCACCACAGGGAGCTCGAAAGGACCCCTCGAGGGCCTACTCTTCCGCACGAACCGTAATACAAAAAAAAATACCAAGAAAAAAAGTCTCCAAAATGTATTTGCCCGTCGCTTATTGTCGTTTATCTCTCGTAACCGGCAGGTGGTGAGGGTGTCGGGCTTGTTCGAGGCGAGGGACGCCGAGGAGAAGGACGGGAGCGAGTTTGGCGACCGCCACAAGTACGTGAACGAGGACATCGAGATGGGCGGCGTGGAGACCTGCAACGGGCACCCGGTGGAAGCGTCGTGAGAGCTCGCGGTCCAACGCACGGGGACGCACGGCACCGCGACAACGCGCGCCACCTCGACGCACGGCGTGCCAACGCGGGGAACCGACGTCGCTCGCGCTGGAACACGGGGGCCGCTCTTCGTTTCGGTCCACTGCTGGGCACGGTCGGTGATAGGGGGTTGCCACCTGCCCGGGTGTTTGCTCCCCCCGGATTCACCTCCTTCTTGAGGTTGCCGTACTCTCTGGATCTTAAGTCACACGCTCTCCTAACCTGTTCTAGATTTGAAGTTTTCGTGACTGCAAGGATCCATACTTCTTTGGTTCTTTCGGTAAAGTCACGTAGGTAAAACTATTTAATTAAATAAAAAATAGAAATAATCGAATTTTGATTATGATTAGATTTTTTGATTATTGTTTGATTATTTATATTTTTATATTTTATTCCTTTTTTATTTAATAAAAAAAATTCACCTACGTTACTTTACCGAAAGTATGGATCCCTAACTTGTGTCAATTAGAATTATACAAATCTCGTCGCACGAACCTACCCGGATTGTAAGATGCACACCCAACCTTTGTATCGTAATCATAGAGGGGGAAACGTGCGTCTTGTAATCCAGAGACATTTGTAGCCATCTTCGGAAATCTATAGGTCTGCCCGGGACATTAAAATTCCCACTGTTTGTCCGCTGTGTAATAACAATGATAATACACCACTCAAGACAATGCATCTTCATGTGGTGCTGCCCTCTTCTGGCGTCTGTGGCGTACTCTGCGCATGATACGTCTTACTGTTTGTTGGTACCACGGAGGTGGCAAACCCCAGTCAGTGACCTCGAAAATATTTCCAGTCGGCATCCGGTATAGCTCTCGCGATGGATGTAGCTGCTAGGCACATGTCGCGTGTTCCAGTGTACCAGCAAGGTATAAAATATTCAGTGAAAAGTTAAGCCCTGGCTACAGCACCCGGACCTGTCGGCTGGCATACCTGCGCCATCAATGCGGCAAATTGCTTAAGCTACAGCCCACCGAGAATGTGTATATTTGTGTACAAGCATAGTGAATTCGGTGTGTAAGTGTGGTGTATTTTAGTGTGTGTGTGGAGAGTTAATGTAATGATCAGAGCACTGCACTATAGACCTGGCTAACCCGAGTTCTAATTCTTCTCGCAGCCAACATTTGGTGACCAACATCTGAAGTGGGCTGGGGCCCCCAAGGTCGACTCGGCCTCAAATGAGTACCGAGTGCGGTGTGTAAACATCACCACTGGGGAGACAAAGGCGGCCCCCGGGCGTAGTGCTGGCAACCCACCCCCTCGTGTACCATGCCGGCAGGCCTTAATATATGTGCTCGCTAACAGCACTTGTTCCAAACAGTCTGCTAAGGCTATACGGGGGTCTTTGTCTCTATTGTTTGTGTTCCGTGTGCACACATATTATTTACGTTACGAGGTCCTGACTATGAATTGGATCAGCAAATCCGCTTTATCGCTGCCGCTGGAACACCTCTGTCATGGGTTAGCGACTATTTTTCTATTGCGTTGAGATTATCTGCTGTTATGCCTTCGACTAAACCCGCACAAAGGTAAATACACCGCATTGGTTGTGCAGAATGTGCATGTAGCTCTTCACTTCTCTGAGCTTTCCCGGCTTTATTTATTTTTAAGACGGCGACTTTTTTTTGCGTCATAGCAAGCATTCGAACTTTTAACAAAACGTGCAATCCATGGTGTACACGGTTAACATTTGTGTGTTTTACGACACAGCGAGGGTAAGGTGGCTTCCCGGCACGCAATACACGTTCACTGTAAAGCAGTGCTTGGCCAGGCTTTACGAATAAAAAAAACACACACACTTCCAAAATGTGTTTTTTTGGCTGGGCCGTTATAAACGCGCATACAAAAGGACGCGTGATCAAAAGGTCAGAGGTAAGAGGCCCAAGGGGTGTCAGAAGGGCAGAGGTAAGGGTGCCTGGAATTGGTGTCTACACTTCTGTCCTGCCCTCTGACCCCAAAAACCTCCTCACTCTTCCCTCCTCCATCTCACGCCAGCCCCAGCTGTTATTCTGGTTCTTAAAAGCGGGGAATGCTTGCCGGGATAATAACAACAGCAGCTGCCGCTTTGTCGACTGCTGGCAGCGTTGGTCGACGGACTGATGCTGCCTCCTATGGTTAAAGCTGTGTGCGGTTGGGAGAATTTTTTTCTCTCTCTCTCTTACGGCGATAATGGGGGATACGAGAACATTGCCTTCTTTGGGTGAAGTAGCTGGGGCATTTTGTGTTTGTTCGGGAATGCCCTGCTTCGTTTTGTATTGAACGTACGGGAACACGCACTGCTGCTGTTATGATCTCCACTGTTTGTTCCTGAGAATATTTATTTTCAGTGAAACACATGACATTTATAAATATATTTTATCGAACATATTTTACCTTTTTATTTAAGAATAAACTATTAAGCAACAATTATTTTTACGCATGTTATCCATTTTTTTGAATATATATTCTTACAGCTAAACATTTTCTTTGGAGGTGGAGTGGTGGCACAGTGGTTAGTGTACAGCACTGTTAACCCCATGGTCTGAGTTGGATTACCTGCCACGGCTGCTAACATTAGTGACAAGTGAAATCTGAAATAGTCCTGCTCCCCCTCCTCCAACTAATACCAAGCTGCACTATCCAGCATGGTGAAGTATGGTGAAACAACCCCGGCAAGCTATGTGCCTGGCGTGTGAAGGTCCTCATCCAGCAGCGGATTGACAAAGGGCACAACATTATTTTACTTTTATTTATTTTCATTGGAAACAGACATTCATCTCAAAATACATCATTTTAATGTGATATGTTCCATTCTGTGTATATATATATAAAAACACGCAAAGTATTATTAAAATTCCTTTGTGGTGTCCAAATAATCCTCACCGCATGGTAGTTGCTGTGCTGTTTTGTGGTCAGTAAGAATTGCTGTGCTGTCAAAATTAACGCGCGTGAGTGTGTGTCTTGAAAGTGGTGGCAGAGTGGTCAGCACCCACAGTGTAGGGAATAATACAAAAAATCTGCTACACATAGCATGTTGTCAACCTACTTGCTGCACTGCATTATACACTTTGCTGCCCTGCAGTTGGGCACGTCACGATCCCTTTGTGAGCCACCAACCCTCACGTGCAAGCCGCTGAGTGTACAGAATATGCATAATTTGCCACCCACTATAAAACTTGATTTAGCAGTGAGCTTAGTATTTCATTCCAGTGTTTTATGGTTTTGGTAATGCTCCAAAGCCACCAACTGTGTTGCACAACAGCTTCAAACCTTTATCCTTGGACATTTCACATTGTCGAAGAAGTAGATTTAGATATGGCAAGTGGCACTTAATATTATTACTTCTAATCACTTTAAATGTCTGAGATAAATATGCTATGGCCATAATTGCACTGATAAATCTAAACGGAAGGATATTCATGCTGGAATAACCATCTATGATATATAGTCAAAATAAAACGTTAAAAAACCTACTTGATATAGCCCAGCGGATATGTAATACAAATTTTAGCAACTGAGCCTTTGGTGACGCAAGTGTGTAAGTTGGCAACAAAAAGTATGCTCTGAACGTGAACCCACATCATACAATGTCTAAATTTGACAGACTTGGATCCTTGTGTCGCTGAATGCATGAATCTTGAACATATCTGCTTAGCTAATGTACCTCTTATTAATACATATAATACTTTTGAAGTGTGCGCTGGTATCATTATTGGATGTGCGTTCTTAAGAGGTGTATCGAGCACTGGTCATGGTGACGATGACGAAGTGAGACAGATGTGCGTTGAATTACGGATAAGTGGTCCGTGTGATTTCGTGTGCAAAGAGAACGGCCTGCGGAAAGAGATATCGCAGAGCTGTGTCTGAGACCTCCTCAAGTGACTTCTGAATCCACGTTTGGTTGTTCTCATTAGGATCTCGCACATGGCCTGGAGAAATGTGTACAAACCTGTATCGGACGATCTGGATCCTGCGCGGAAGCCAGTATGGCCAGATGCTCGTTTCAGAAATAGTTTTAAGAAATATTTACTTTGGCGAACGCCCTGTGTACAAAACACCTAAACAGGTGTCCTGTCTGAGGCTGGCCCTCGAGATTTTAATATGATCTAATCACCAATTACCCAGCCTTAGAATCCCTCGTAGACTTAGCAGCTTCTGTTGCTAATTTATGATATAATTACGCATTGTTCGAATGTTGCTATCCTTGTGTTTTGCATTCAGCGATTTTTAAATGACTGCTATTTGTAGCTTTGGTGCTGACGTTATTCATACAAAACCATTTTACAATAAATACGAAATAAATTAATGGATGCAGTTTACCCAATGCCTTTTCTTTTGAATGCTTTTTTTTTTCCTTCGCGTTTAATGCAATCTCCGGATAAGACGCTTCGGAAAGTAAGACGCACCCCAAGCCTCGTGCCACGGTGCCAATAAAGATCCACAAATAGAGTAAGACGCATCCTAGTACCGGGAAAGAGACTTTTGGGAAAAGTGCTTTTAGCGAGCACCTATGTAGGCCGGCAGGACACACGATGGGGTGGTTTGGCCAGCAACCACACCCGGCCACCTTAGTCTCCCCAGTGACGATGTTTACACATCGGAGCAGGTTGTACTAATTTGAGGCTGAGTTGACTAGGGTTCGCCGAGTTCACAGTGCAGCGCGCTAACCGTTAAACTACCGTGGCCAGCAACCACGCTGAGACCTCAAGATAATCGTCACTGGTGGTGGTGGCCGTGAGCGGGGAATCAAACTCGGGGGTGTGGGTTTGGGATTGTCGCGCGGTTCGATAACTGTTGCACTACCGCTCCCCATACAAATCTGGACACACACACACGCCTACCGGATTATTATGTCACACCACCGACTTTTCCTTTAAAATACAGGAGGGGGAAGAGTGCGACTTATAATCCGGAGAATACATTTTATTGTGTTTAACCTGTTACTCTGTGGTGGCATTGTCAGCCTTGTGTCTGTTGTTTTGCAATGAGCCACATCGCTACATGGCTAATTGCAAAAAGTCGAAATTTTAAGTGATCTTTATTATCCTCTCAGGGGTTTCTCCTCCAACCACGTGAAGGGTCCTTTGAGAATTGTGCTGATTGAAAACACTGAGTGAGTTTTAGGTACATTGAGAAATAAATGACATTCCGCAAACAAAATGAGTAATTATTTATTTATCCAGGAAAGCTTCACCGAGTTCCGTGTGAATGCTCACAGATCTATAAACACAATAACAACTCAATATCCTGTACAAAGAAATAAATACAATGTAACGATAAACACTCAGTATCCATTGACCCATACAATGCACAAAGGGCTGTAAATTAACTGAAACGTCATTACAGTTGGTAACATCGGCCCGAACGCACTTGATCTCATCGGATCTTGTCAACACAGCACGATGGTGCGTTGATAGCAAACCATCGTGCATTGTCAGCAGAGGCCAGTGCAGCATAATTAATTGTTATACTGTACTATGATCCAACATCTACGCCCCCCGCACCGACTCACGTGGCGATGCAGTACGGTTAAACAACCCGCACGGGGCACATGGTGTGGCGTAACCTTCATCCAGCAGTGGATCGAATGGCATCGGTAACACCTTTGTATGTTCCAACCCTATGAATGAACTTGCAGCGTCGTCACGTTAAGCGAGTTGATAAATGCTCGCAAATGAGTTTGAACCGCTCACGGAAGCGTGACTTTGCTTGTGTCCCAGCCGGGGGTGTGAGTCCAAATACAAACACTTGTTTAGAGTATTTTGGCTTCGATAAATGTCCACGCGATGAGCCACTTTGTTGAGCTATCATTTGTGGCCGGGTGGCATCTGAAAAAGCTTCATAGCTCAGTAAGCTTCACCGGGTAAAATACAAAGTTCAGTAGTTTATAAAAGGTGACTTTTTGCACCTCCGATTAGCAAGGTTGGCTACGTATGGTGCGAAAGAAGTTAAAAATGCATACATTCTGTCAATAGAGAGAATGGGGTTGCTTCCTGAAGGACCCTGCCTGATAATGCGGGGGGGGATGGGGGGGGTGACCGCAGTCGACCAGGTAATTACGAGCGCCCAACCAGGTGCCCTCGAGTTAACACTTTCAGGAAATCCTGCCTTCAATCTGCCGCTGACAACTGATGCAATGGCACAGCAGAGGGGGGTGGGTGGGGGGGGGTTATGGCGTCTTGGCGAGCGATGGGTCCTTGTTCTGAATGACTTCCCAGAGGGCGCGTCCATGGGGTCACACGGACGCTCTGGGTTTGTTTGTCTTGCGTGCACGGCGGAGTGGACTTGCGTGCGACGGCTACAAACCGTGGTCGCTTTCGACTCAGCTGCTAAAGAGAATGGCGACCCCAATAGCCAGAGCCCTCACCTTCACCCGAATAAAAAAAATAAATTCCAGGAAAACCTCTTAGAGGCTCCGTGAAGATATATTTTTTTTTCCAAGAAGGGGACTAATTGCTTTACGGTTAACGCATTGGACTTGCAATCAAGAGGTCGCCGGTTCGATCTCTTGAAGGCGCGGTAGTTGAAACGATGGGGCAAGTTTATTCAATGCCCTCCCAAGTTTATTAAATGCCCCCCCCCCCTTCGCACGCCCAACCGCCTCTGTCCACCCAGCAGTGAAAATGTTTTCACCGGCGTCAATCAGCAGATCATTGGGAAGCGTGAGTATTCCCACCTTTTCAAAGATGTTTGGTCAATGTGGACTTTCGCCGATGAGACATCATCCAGTGCGAGGGCAGCCACGCATTTTAAACCATTGGGGGGTTGACAGCAGCACGACGATGATGATGGGGGGGGGGGGGTGTTTTCACGTTTGTTTATTGTGGGGGGCCGCACTAAAGGTCATCAGGGGCCGACAGTGGCCCACGGGCCTTGCAATGAAGAACACTGCACCAGAGTGGCTCTCTCGAGCTTCTTCAAGCGGAGGCCCTTCCGCAGTTGTGCGACTAAGTGATTGCAGGGATGCACCATTACTTGTTTAACCATTAAACCTCTTTGATCACGAAGTTGCGGCAGGAACTGATGGAAACCAACTGGTTGTTGAGGAAGAATTGCGTTGCTGCTGATGGACGTACTTTATATTTCCTGCCTAGGGGGCGCAAAGGACTTAAAATTGGTTAACAGCCACGATTTCTCAAGCCGTTGTTATTGTTTTCCTAAAAGTCTGCAGGTCAACCAATAACTTTTACTGTCGTAGCATTCCAATGGTCATTTTCCTTACAATGATACTACATTTTTGTGAGTATTCACCCACTTCCCGTGGCTTACAAACACAGTCACAGAGACGCATTTTACTCACCTATAAAAAGTGTACACATTGTAGTCTACCGGCAGTTTTGCACATGTGCAAACAAACACAAACACGCATCCGTTTATATTGCCGCAAACACAGTAATTCCCGCGCACCTGTTTTATTTGCTTGCGTTGCCCTACAGGATTCTGGCGTCATAACCGCGGATGCACAGCTGCATGCATTTACGATGAGACAGGGAATGGGGATGAGAGATGGTGAGGCGAGTGGTGTGGGGAGGAGGCATTCACCATTTGACCAAACGGATGTCTCATCCCGCAGTTGGGGGTGGTGGTGGATTAATGAGCATCTCTATCTATGATCCCCGCGAATTTTTTTTTTTTAAAAGACGAGTCGAAATATGGTGACGGCAGGCTAGTTCAGGGGTCAGAGGAGCTCTGACACCATTGAGATCCTGGGTTTGATTCCAGGTTTGAGGCAGCCGTGATTAAAACAAATCATTAGTACATTTAGTATTCGCACCGTTCTTAAAGAAAAAGGCTATCTTTAGAATCAGAATGTTTGTCCTGGAGAAATACGATGAGCTGTGAAGCTCTTTTTCACATATGCCAAGTAGGGGTGGATCAGAAATCACGAAACCGCTATTTTCACAGATGAGTATAGTCTGCAGTCGTTTCACAGTTGAGAGAGATGTTGCTATATGGGGACATTGATTCAGTTAAGTTGCGAGTAATTTTACATTTTGGGAAATTTGAACCGTAACGCCGAGACACAAGGCCTACTCATTCGACAAACGTCACGAGAACTTTCACATCCACCGTGAATCAGAGGGTGCGTATTTACGGGTAATACACCCATAGTGTTAACCAGGGTGGCCGCGGGGGCTCGAACCACAACAAGTATCAAATTCTCTCCGCTCGGCCATGTCACTGGCCAAAATCGGGATCTCAACCCGGTCAACAATGACTGCACAACAACACATCACATCAAATGTGTCTTAAATCCCAGCTGCATTTGGGATATTTGGCTCACACTCCCGGTTAAACATATGGAATTAGGCCAACAAAATGAACATTTATTTCCATCGATGATGCCGCGCGGCGGCTACAAGTCAAACGTATTTACCGCTGAACGCTAACGCAGAAACGAATGGTATTAGAAAATGTAACCAAATTGCATTCATCTTGAACTTGCACCGTGTCTACACATCGCAGGAACTATCTTATGCATAAATCTCGCAAACGTGGGTTCTTGTTTTTTTTTTAAAGCTGAATTCCACTGGAGTGCACACTTCCATCCTGGGTCGTCTTCACGCAAGCGAGAGACGGCTGTGGTGCGTGAAGTGTGCGCGATGTGATTTGCACAAGCACTTTTGATTTGTGTGTGGAAAACAGAAATCTGGACCCGTGCAATGCCCAGGAGTTTAACTTTAAAGAACAAATGTGTTGGCCCCGGGTTATTTTCGCGTGGCTCAATCCGCCAAGCACATTGTTTCAAACGGAATGAACCTCTTGTTCGCAAGACGCAGACCTTGCGACTTGTTTGCTTCTTTAGTTTCTAATCAGTCCATAGTGAAATGTGTAAAAAAAGTTTAAAGGTGGTGGAAGGGCCTTCACGAGAGCAAGTCCTAGAGCCTCTAGGTGGTATATTGACCTCCTCTTCCACGTTGGCCAGACCTCTCGCAAGAGGTGGGAGTACCCAGAGTTCACCTCACCTCACTGTGCGGTTCCCATTATTCTGCTGGGTGGACAGAAGCGAAAGGATTACAAAAGAACGTGCCCACATCGGTAGGTCAAACCGGCAATCTTTATTTGCAGTGGCCTTGCAATCCAGCTAAGGTGTAGATCGGTGCAGTACAACACTTTACAGGTAACTAAACGCTGTAAGCATTCATCCCTGGGCACAATTAAGAACGCTCATGTCCTGTGCGAAACACGTGCCTGAGCGTTGTAAACATTTGCACTGTGGTAACAAATGGTGCCGCAGAAGGTTTTCACGTGAATTTTCGCCACGAAAACAACAACTCCCTCGATGAATACCTCGCAAGACTGTGTGCAGTCGTCGCTGCAAAG